TGGCTTCATCCAATTACCCTTATTATTAGCATATTAATTAGCATATTACCCTTTCATTATTAGAGATATGTAAAGTCAGGTAAGAGAACCTCGACATTCTTATCCTTAGCCCCAATATAAATGCTTTGTAGTAAAAGATATCCAATGCTTCCTCCCTAAATCTAAGAGATTCAAATCACGATGAATAAATAAATAAATAAATAAATAAATAAAGCCAAAACCTGCTTGGCTCAATGGATAGAGTGTCGGCTTGGGGACTGAAAGGTCCCGGGTTCGGTTCCGGTCAGGGGCATGTGCCTTGGTTGCGGGCATATCCCCAATAGGGGGTGTGCAAGAGGCAGCTGATCGATGATTCTCTCTCATTGATGTTTCTAACTCTCTATCTCCCTTCCTCTCTGTACAAAATCAATAAAATATATTTAAAAAAAATAAATTCAAGTAAGGAAAAAAATAAAATAAACAACCCAGACCAAAACTATTTCTACGCCCCTAAACTCTCTATGTCCTAGTTAATGAAAAAATTAACTCCTTATGTGTGAGAGCTGAGGTTGATTTGCTTTTATTATTATTCACTCAGCATAAGAAGAAAAAGCCAATATACATGTACTGGGAAGAGTTAGTTTTTCAGGTAGACTACAAATAGTCTGAACATTCGGATAGAATTAAATCACCCATCAAATGAACCAGTCTTACACAAAGTTTAGACTGAAATCCTTACCCTTGGGAAAGAATTCCAAATGGTTGTTTACTGTAAATACCAAGAGAGGAGGCTAATAAACCCATTGGTCATGCTGTGTTCAATTGGTTTGCCAAACATTTTGGAAAAGGGAGATGGAGGTGGAATTTCTCAGGAACTCTCCAGAATGAGTGTACAAAGACAAATGGGAATGAGAGAAAGAAGAAGACCAAAGCTTACACTATGTTGCATTGTCCTCCACACAATCCTCTGGGAAGCAAGAGGAAAACAAGTTTAAAGGAAAAAGAAAGAGAGATTATTCTATACATAATAGCAAGCACAGGTACAATGCTTAGCTTTGTAGGCTGGCATTCTACCCACCAACCTTCACCCCTAACTCCCTCAGATTGAGCAGTAGAATATTTGGGAAATCTGCACAAACAGGACGATATGGAATACTTACTGGAGATTCATGCATCTAAAATCATCACCAACTTGATGAACTAACTTTCAAGTCTGTGGTGTTTTATTTATTTATTTTTTGGTGTGTGTGTTTTAGTCCACTTTTATAAACTATATTCCCCCAAGACATACAATTTAAAGTACTTGTGTGAGGCACCACTGTACGTTTTTGCTCTAATGAATCAGCTGAAGTAACAGACATTCCCTGTCCAGGAACCATACAGCATGTTGTGCTCTCACTTTCTGTACAACTAATTGTATGCTCAGATTCTAAAAATTGAAATAGTTTGTGTTGATTTACTTTTAAGTGCTCTGCCTCCACTGAAATGCTTTAAAAGTCACAGTTTTATAATCAAATTATTTAAGAGAATTCATGGAGGATAGAGTTAAGACAAACAGAAGAGATCCATCCTCTTCCTTCATGCAGATAATCGCCTCTGGTCTATTTAACTAACCTCATCACAACCTGCTGCCATAGAAGCACTGCCAGGTTGAGTGTTGGTGACAGGAAACACGTGATGGTGGGAGCAGGCCATTAACCAAATTAGTCGATGACATTAATATCTCCAACAAATCAGGGCTGCTGGCAGGAAGGACTGTGACATTCTCTGATGAGTCAGCTTTTCATCAGCAGCTGAATTTATACAAATATATTCATTTATTATTGGATAATAAAAATAACTTTTGGATAGTCTGACCTACTGACTACCTAAACTAATTATGCACATATAATTTTAGAGGAATGGAACATTTACCTCCAATAAACAGAAATAAATGGCAAAGTTTCTTACAGACAGAACAAGGTTCCTTATAAATGTAATAGAGGTTAAATGATGGGATTAATGTATTTTTTAAGAGAGAGTTTGGTTTGTTTTCAATTATTTTATATAAATTTTAGCAGTAGTTTATCCAGCTTGGGGTTAGTAGCTTTATTTCTAAAACCCCATCATTGTCAGTTCACATAAAAAATAGTTTTACAATAACTGACATAAGAAAAGCTATCTACAGAACCCCAAGTTAATAGGCCAGGTACTAATTTTACATGGGAGTAAGAGCAATTCTCTGAGAGCTCTCTACCTATTTTCCTTTGGTTAGAAGGGTGGGGTGGAGTAGTCTTTCAATGCTGCCCTTGGAAGCAGTGTCTCTGCTGAAACACTCAGAAAGACTAAAGGAAGTCTTTCCCAGTTATTCTCCTTTTCTGGGACACCTGCTTCTTATAAATATTCAAGAAACATCCTTTCAGGGGAAAATTACGACAGGAGTGGGTAACATGAGACTTGTTTATAAACGAGCTGTGCTGTATAGACCCGTTGGGAGAGTTCACCAATGCGTGTGTCTCCAGGAGGATTTTGTCTGTTGCACAGCCTGGGCTGGTTACTTCCTCACCCTTTCACTACTCAGAGCTCTGTATTACCCGCAAAGGGAAGAGCCTTGGGGGAGCCAAAGGCTGCAAAGGGAGAGCAAAGGGAGAGTCTGATGTGAGCTTCATTCTCGCTTGTGTTTTTCAAGAATAACCTTGCAGAGCTCCTTTTGATTGGAAAAGTCCCTTGCTCTTAGGGGCTGGGAAGGTAACTCCAGGTAGGCTTATGGCTGACTGCGAATGACAAATGGCTAATTCTTACAATTTAGGAAGGAATCAGAATTTAATTCAATAGGAAACTAATAAAACCTGCATTCTTCCTTTACAGGGCCTGAAGCCACCCCTATCAGGAAGTACTCCATGCTGTCACAGAACATTTTAGAATGAAATTGGCTTATTGACTTAAATTCCTATGCATTGAACCAGTTCTTATACACTGAGTCTGGTCCTTGTTTGTAATTAACCATTACTAATTCTCCTTAGAAAAACGTTGCTTAAAAATATTTTTGGAGGCACATAAAATAGAAGAGTTTAAATTAGGTTGCTACTTGCAAGTACTCTTCAAGACCTTTATATTTGGGGCATTTTGAAGATCCCCAATAAAGTTCCTGTATAAGAGTTCAAATTTCAATTTCCCTATCTACCAGATTTTAAACATCACGTGAAATTTTCAAAATGTTAATGCTTTACTTAGGTTATATTAAATTGCCTAAATATTGTTGTCTTTAGATAAAATAATTTTCTTGCTCTATTTCCCTAGAAGCTCTACTTCCTTTGATTCTATTTCAAAGGGGAAAAATAATTAGTAGTCATAGATACCATTACATTGTTCAAATTCACTGTAATTTTAACTAAGTGTGTAATGTAGCCAAATTGTTTTTAAATTTTATTTTATTGTGATAAGAACACTTAACATGAGATTTACTCTCATAACGAATTTTTAAGTGCATTATACAGTATTGTCATCCACAGGCATCACTTATTGATCTTCATTGTGTCCAAATTCTAATACAAGTGTTTATGAAAAAATCTGAAAAGCCTGAATTGGTCTAATGATTAAGCTGCAGCCAACTAAAATGGAAATAAAAAGGGAGAGAGAAAGAGAGAGAACCCATACTCACCATTTCTGCTTCTTGTTAAAAGGATCTAGACATACAAAGGAATTTGTAAAGTAAAACCCCAAATAATGGAATCTTATGAAACCATCGTTTCTTGAAAACTATTAGCTAGTTATTTAGAGAAATCTAATTGGTTGTTTAAAAGAAAAAAAAAAAAAAAGACTAATTTTAAACTTATCCTGAAACTGTGAATAGAGAATTAACATAATCAAGGTAAAGTAGAAGTTTGTAGCAATTACCCAGATGATTCTTTTTCAAAACCTACATGAACGAGGAAGGCTTATTGCTAATAAACTGTAATAAATTTACAATATAATTTAGTAGTTAACAATTCCATTTACTCCTTGTCATTGGCATTTTGTGGATAGGCCTTTATATTGTAAGTACATTTGATTTTTATAGAAACAATTGCTAATATGTACTTATTTTGAGGCCAAACTCAACCAATTTATGAGTTCTACCCTGCAGAAGAATATTAAATAATAATATTATTTAATAATAATAAAAATAATGATAAATTAATTTATTACAGTGACTAATACAAATATTTTTTTGTAACTAGAAATTGAAATCTGAGTTAACATGCCATAATCAGATGTGGTTCAAGTGTTTTATGGCCTTAAGGCTCTCATTCGCTAATTTTACATCAAGATAATTGGCAAAACAACATTAATAGCACCTACAATTACAGGTATATAAATTGTTTATATTACTATAAATACTATAAGTTTCACTGAAAATTATCAGGCATTATTATGTCTCTTAAATTATGAGATTTTCATTTCTTGTCACAAGATTTGATGCTTAAAACATTCAAGTTGTGTCTACTACATTTATGGTTGTACAGTATTCTCTACGTAAATTGCTTTGTTGCTAGAGACCATTTGACACACATTTAAATGGAACAAAGGGTGACTATTTCCAAGAATTTCAACTTTTAAAAGATACACACACACAAATGGCATTTCATTCACCTTGATTTGGGGGTCTCTTGGCAAGAAAACTTTACATATAAGGAGAATTCATAATCAAGTCCCACTACCATAATTGAATAAATAACTAAAGCAAATGAATGAGAAGTGTGCTATTGTATAATTATATTGCCGGGAGACAGAGTAACTGTCTTCAAATTAATATTTCAGAAGAAATATGAAGTTGAAAATCTGGCCTTTGCAGGAGTGGATTAATGGTGATAAGACTTCTTAAATAATCTAATTCTTGACCTAAAAGGAAGATCTCATTACTTTTCAATATTCTAATTAAGACTAGGAGCAGATATCAGAATGAGATGACTTTCACAACCAACTTTTCCCCGTCACGTCTTCTGAAGAATAACCCTGGTAACAGACAGCGGCCACAAGGCCATTTATTCGCGAGAACTCACCAGCCGGTCTAAGCTTGTGCCTGCTGCGGTTGTCGGTCTTTCCTCAGGATTGTAAGGCCTGAACCGTGTATTAAAATTTTCAGGCGCTGAGCGGGCAGACCTGAGGGCTGGAGCAGGCTTGGGTTGGCCACATCCCTGAAAGACCTGGAAGAAACATGGAGAATTTAACCCAGTTGCACAATTCATTTCTTCTAAGATCATGATATGGAAGCATGCAAAGGGACATTTTTTCATAGGACTTTTACTTTCAATAAACTCTGATTTTGAAATTTAGTCAAATTTCCAACCACTTACACTATATAACAGAAAGAATTACCTAGACAGATACAGAGTGACTGATGCTCAGACTCTTATTTTTAACATAATAAAACAACCCTCGTTATTCACAAATTCCATATTTGTGAATTTGCCTACTCACTAAGATTAATTTGTCAGCCTCAAATCCATACCCATGCACTTTTGCAGACATAAGCAGGATGACAACATTGAGAGTTGCCCTCCATCATGTTCTCAGCTGCGTTCAAACACAGAGGTGCTCTGCCTTCGACTTGGTTATCAGATCTACTGTTGCTGTGTTCAAGTAGCCCTTATTCTACTGAATAATGGCCCCAGAGTGCAAAAGCAGCGATTTGAATATGGCAATTCAGATGTGCTAAAAGAGAATCAATAAAATGCTTTCTTTAAGTGAAAAGGTAGGTATGCATAGGAAAAAAACAATATACATTGGATTTGGTACTTTTCAGGCATTCAATGGAGGTGTTGTAACATATCCCCCGTGGATAAGAGGGAAGTACTGTGTTAAAAGTAAGAAATGTAATAGTTACTTCATACAATGCTTGCAGGATTAAAGGAATCATGTCCCAGACATTTTTATACACTTGAATTTGGCATTTGATAAACATCCATTTGGAATTCTTATTATCATGACAACTGTATTTCATCTATAAGATAAAAGAACTACAGTGATTCCACCTTGAATAATGAGAACCTTATTCTTTGGAAACACCCTCTTGAGCAATGGTGTGGAAATAGGACAAGCAAAGTTAGTGAAATCCACATAATGATAGTTTCTTCAAATTTTGCTGTTGACAGCTGCTCATGTCACAATTGGGGTTGCCATGGGAAATTAAACATATAATTGTAATGACCTTAGGGATGGTGCTGGCAGATCTTCTCTACAGTGATTTCACTCCGGGTGGTGGGAGATAACTACTTTGCTGTTTTTAGAAACTTCCCACTCTCTGCTGGTTGAGAGATAATGCCTTTACCAGAATTCCAGGAAATACAGTAACATTTTCAGGAAATTTTGATGAAGTCTAATTTTATGTTTCTCCCATTTCTACATAGGAGATGATTCTATTCCTAGATATGTATATTTTCTCCCCAGTAAACTTTTTTTGGGACTATTGACATCAGCTCATTCTTAAGTTACATGTGTGAGTTTAGAACACATTCCTTCTGGTTTTGTAATTTGATTCTGTGTTGTTTAGCTTTAAAGTCAGCATTTTTTTCATCAGGCATATTATGGGATTTCACTGAAGTACACAGAGAGCTCTTGAGTGCTATTCCCAGTGACAAATTCTACCTTGAGACAATTCATTTGGTTTTACCACTACAGGTCATTTCTCTTGTGTCGTATTCAAAAGTTCTCCTTGAGCTCAGCATTCCATAGAGCCGAACGCTTTGTCTTGGCATTCCTGGAGATTGGTCTTAACACACTATTGATTATTCTTCTCTTGCACAATTTCGGAGGTTGATGGTGTAAACCAGCACTATAAAGATAGCAGGCCCCTTTCTCCCTAGTGCCTCAATCACTTCCCAGCGGCAAGGTCACTGCTGAGGGAGGGCATTAACATTTCCAAAGCTCCAGGTTTCTGTGGAGTGTGCTATCATGGATAATTTTGAATATGACAGCTGGCTTTTTAAAAAAGTATAAAGCCCTGAGGCAAAACAATACTGATGGTCTTGCCGAGATTTCTTGAAGCCAGACACTGAAAGAATGAATGAACCTTAATTCGCCCTTTGGGAAAAATATGGCTCACTGTTTAAGTTAGATCACTGGTACAAGACATGCCTTGAAAGAATATGAGTGATTTAGGAGATATTTCATCATAACAGAAAATCTTACCACTTGTGTGGGAGGGGGGTGGTAGGTATCCTATCTAATAAAAGAGTAATATTCAGATTGACCATCACTCCAACACACAAGATGGCTGCCCCCATGTGGACAAAGATCCTGTCCCCTGTGGACACAAGATGACCAGCAGGGGAGGGCAATTAGGAAGAACCAGGCCTGCAAGGGAGGGCAGTTGGGGGCGATCAAGCCTGCAGAGGAAGGCAGTTAGGGATGACCAAGATGGCAGAACAGGGAAGTTGGGGGCGACCAGGCCTGCAGGGAAGGGCAATTGGGAGGAACACAAGCCTGTAGGAGAGAGCAGTTGAGAGGGATCCAGGCTGTAGGGAAGGGCAGGTAGGGGTGACCAGGCCTGCAGGGGAGAGCAGTTCGGTGCAAACAGGCTGGCAGGGGAGTGGTTAGGGGGTGATCAGGCAGGCAGGCAGGCAAAAGTGGTTAGGGGCAATCAGGAAGGCAGGCAAGTGAGCAGTTGGGAGCCAGCAGTCCTGGATTGTGAGAGGAATCCCAGATTGGAGAGGGTGCAGATTGGGCTGAGGGACACCCTCCCTTCCCGTGCACAAATTTCGTGCAACAAGTCTTTAGTTAATTATAACAGAATATAGGTTGCTTAATATTGCCCAGCAGCTTTCCATCATTTGTATCAGGTTTGTATAGTAATGATGGCTTGAGAGAAGAAATTGCCAGATCTATGATCCAAACCGAAGAAAACACTGACTCATAATTATGGAGACCTACATAAAAATCTGGCACCATATGTCAAAGATGAATCCAGAAGGTCCTTCAACACAGTCTATTATACCCTCAGAAAAAGGGACTTGTCAGAAGAAAAGACATTTTAGTGTGAAAATGCAAAGTTGGAGAATCAAGAACTGTTTTTCAGAATTTCACAAAACCGAAAGGGAATAGTGGCAGAGGAGACCAGGGCATCAACTTTCCCTGTGCTCACTTGGGCATAATTAAAAGCATGTATGATTCTCATGTGGAGAATATATGTTATTATTAAACATTTTTTTTTATTGACTTCAGAGAGGAAGGGAGAAGGAACGGGAGAGGGAGAGAGAGAAACATTGATGATGAGAAAGCATCATTGATTGCCTGCCGCCTGCATGCCCCACACTGGGGATCTAGCCCACAACCCATGCATGTGCCCTGACAGGGAATCGAACTGTGACCTCCTGGTTCATAGGTCGACAATGCTGACCAAGCATAAAAAATATTTCTTAAACAACACATATCTGTCGTACAACCTAGATGACTTAGAAAGTGACAATAATTTCATTTTTCATACATGCAATCTATTGGCTAGACAAAGTATTATTAAAGCACTGAGTTCTCGTGGTGAGTGGTCAAAGGGATTCTTGTGTAGAACATTGGGACTGTCTCAAACTCTTTTCTGATCTTGCTACAGCAGCTGTGCAAAAAGACAACATTCTGTGGCTCTTGAGGCCCAGGGCTGCATTACTCTCAAAGACCAATGAGCCTTTTTCCTGGTGGTCTGGGTACCCCAATGTTTCCTACTTGGAGTAAGGGAAGAAATTGAAGGGGAGTTATGTGGGGGAAGGGACCTTAGGTTAAATGAGTGTAGGTAGATCAAGATTCTCTGCATAGGGGTCAGGGCTGAAGATGCAGTTCTGGATCATGAGCCTAAAGATGGTATTGAAAGGTCTGAAACTGATCCAAGGGTAAGTATGTAGCTAGGTAGCAGATGGAGCTGAGGACAGCTCTTGGCCATGCCAACATCAGAGGACCCTCTTTGAGCCTTAGTTGACTGCTTTGTCAAACGGAAATAAGAATATTATTTATCATGAAGATAGGCTCTGATAATAAAAATGCAACACACAAGGCAGGAAAACAGAAAAGCCAATGTCTTGGGTAGGTGCTTGATAATAATGAGATAATTATGTCATTCCACGGTTTGTTTTTTCTAGAAGCTTTGAGTTCTGAATAAGATTTGAAGGGGGGGAAAACTCATGTGAGCTGATGTTTCTTAAATATTTTCCACACAATACTATTTCCAGGAGCTGACAGCAATTATGTAAACAATAGAGTCTGTGGGTCAGAGTTGAATGAGGTATTTTAGCGGGCTTCATTATGCTAACATGTGCACTGAGTGTTTCCCAACATTATTTGGCCTAGGAGTTTCTCACATGATGGAGACATACCCGGGGACACACTGAGTCTTGTTTCAACTGGCCTAGAGAAGAAGTGATTTGGATGTAATCGCATTTACTCAGAGGTTTTTGTGAGCCATTCCACCAGCCACTACCTTTAAGTTGAGAGAAGAAATATTATTTTAAGACACTCAAGGTCTTCTCTTCGCAGCTGAAGTTTCTAGAGAATACAGCTTTAGGCTAAGCCACCTCATTGTGGAACAAATCATTAGCTCCACTCCTTGAAGAAATGGAATCAGTATTACCTCCTGCCTGCCTCCCTCCAAGGGGTATTGAAAGGATAATTAGGTAATTTGGGAAAGTATTTGGAAGTCTCAATGCAGACAGATGCTACAGATATACAAAGGAATTATCCTTCCCCCATAGCTGACTTGCAAAACCTGTGGATTTCCAGAAGGTATCTGGCACATGAATCCTCTCTCTTAAGAGGATTACTAAGATGATGTCTCAGAAGTCTGTTGGCATTTGGAGATTAAAGAAGCTGACATAAAAGATAGAAAAGTGCTGAAAGAAGAAACCTTTAGAAGGGACAAGAAAGAGAGGGAGGTGTGCTGATCACAGGTTTGAATGCTGTGTCTTAGGTTTTTAAATACAAGCACTTTTCCTTAAAGAACGTTGCAGCATCTTAACATGTTTCCCTTAAAATAAACTAATATGATGTGTCCTTTTTCAGAGGCACCCACAGCGTTATACCTATAACTCTGTGTTCTTTTAGCTTCTCAGGCTGATTATACAATACATCCACAAAGCCATTGCTGGCAATCTGAGAAGCAGTGTTTGCAGATCAATCCTGTCTCAGCTCCTATGCTTTTAAAATTGTCTGTCTTCTACTCAGTGAG